TATATGGTTAGCTAAGATATGATAACATCCATATCACTGTGATTTGAAAAAATGTTATAACATATTATTAAATGACAATGGGACATCAATGGACGATTGGAGCTTTTGACACATTTCTGTTCCCATCTATCCGTGATTTTCCAAGTAAAAAAACGATCAAGTAAAAGAGAATTTCCGGAGTGGCAAAACCCAAGAAATCACATTTTATGCGACCGCTTGAGTTTTTTTTTAAATAAACCTTCGGTATTTTAACATAGCTATGGACAATTGCCCATTTATATATAGTTGAATTTGCAATCATGAATGGTGAGTTTCCAGTTCGCTATGTTTAGTTGAGGCTAAACCTTCAACAAAACCATGGCCTTGTGTTGTTGGTTTTACCACGATTCAAGTCTTGCACAACTGAGTTCTCAACCACGAAAAAAAACACACGCGGCGCGGCCTGCACCAGAGCTTCGCCGTATTCCTGAAAAGGTCCAACACTGGTGCACACCTCGCGGCTCACACGTCCACACGTCCACACGTCCATACGTCCACATGTCCACATGTCCACACGTTATACTATATACTATATACTATTATATACTATTATATACTATTATATACTATATACTATATACTATGTACTATATACTATTATATACTATATAATATAAATCATATATTTGCGATATCAATGTCCAATATATATATACAAACTATATTTGGAGGTGTCCAACAAAACCCACAAATCATCCATTAAAGAATGGGATTGTCCATGAAATAAACCATCCAGCGAGCTTGGAGTATCCCCACTATGGAAAGCCTGATTTGCCAGGGTGAAATGACCCCTATCCATCAGCTGGGTGATATTTGCAATTTCAATGGATTGGTGATGGAAAATCAAAAAACGAAGCCCTGCATCTTGCCCAAACAGTTTGAGGTTTTCTGGATTTTTTTTCCCGGAAAAAAAAACAATTCTAAGACAAATTCATTGGTTTAGTCAAAATATTGTTGATATGGTACCATCTGGTAATTTAACATAACTATGGAAAATCACCATTTTTCATGGGAAAACTCACTATAAATGGTGATTTTCCATAGTTATGTTAAATTACCAGAGGGTATCTAATCAAATTGCCACAACTGGGGGTATACCGCATTTTCAGACACCCAAATCCCATAGTGCTGGTTTGACAAAAAGCCCCATAATACCCCTGGTATGTCCCCATCACAGCCATCACATTCCAAGTGTATCCATAAAAATGCGTTTTTGGGGTACCCTTGTGTAAACAAGCATAGATGTGGAAAATCCACCCTTTTTTTTGGTTCATGTTCTGAACGGGAAACCATGGGCTTTTCAATATCTAAGATAGTATTAATCCCATTTTGAGTCACACGCAAATCCCATAATTAGTGTTGCTATGTTTTTCTTCTACATATCTACATTTGATATATTACAATTAGTGGGGGTTCTATCTATAGATGCCATTTTTCTATCATGTTCTTCTATATTAGTGTTCTATATATATATACATGATATATCTACATACCATTTGATGCCCATTGTGGCCCCGTTTGATACTCCAATTGCATCGATTAAAGTCACGTTATTGCATGTTTCACCGTAAATACCCCATTTGCACACCTCATTGTAAATATGTTCTATAGTTCCCTGTATGTTTTTATTGTACATCATATATATATATACACATATCATATATCCATATATCCATTTGTATACTCCATTATATTCCTTTTGTGTTGGATAGCCTCTAGTAAATTAACATGACATAGGGGTTGGTTCATATTAGTTTCCACTAAAAATGTCTTCTTTATGTTCAGGGTCTATGTTACTTTTACCACTAAACATGGGTGATTTTCAGGTTCGAACTGTTAATTTACCAGAGGCTAAGATTTCACTGAAGACTTGCCGTCAAGACGCGCACTTGGTCTGCTTGACCACCTCTTTCACCTCTGTCAATGAAGCGCTCACCACATCCAACACCAGAATCTCCGGCTTGGGGGAGAGCTCTGCCTTACCAAAAGCATGAAAGGAAGATCATCTAGATCTATACATGTATATGTTATATGTCTATACAAGTATATACAGAATATGACATATATACATAATTTGTATATAATATATATATATTTATATATATACTTATATATATACTTATATATAATTCTGCATACTTATAAGATCTTATAATATTATAAATCATGGATAGAAGCATATATGATGACGCATACACACATGTGTTTATCGACGCCAGCACCAATGGACCCACAAGATTGGTCGGTTTTTGTATGAAAAAAACCATGGGGGTTTACAGTTTCAATCCATAACGTACCCAAGAATTAATGGGATAATATGGGAAACCATTAGCGATACATGGAAGAAACATGGAAGAATGGGATAATTGTGGGACAGTGACACGATTTAAACACTAAAATGATCTCAAATCATAGCATTTTCTGCCCCAAAAAAGGAAGAAACCAGGAAACCTAGGATGATTCCAAGTTGAAACCTCCAGGATAAATATCCTCCGTCTACCACCCCTGGCCCTTCAGGCCCTTCGATCCCAGCATCCACGGCTTGCTCCATCTTGCCCCTGTTGCGGCCACAGATGGCATATTTCACGCTGGTTTTGGAGGCCAGGTACTTCAACATCAAGCCACCGGTGAAGCCAGTGGCACCGAAGAGGATCACATCATATACGGCCATGGCGTCGATGGTGAGATGTTTGGGGAGCTAGTTCTAGAAGTCGGAATGGTGAGTGAACAGTTAATGTAAGTTACATGTCATAAGAATCTAATCAAAATGAAAACGTTATTTCTAGAAAGTGAAGGACATGGTATATTTTACATAATTATATATATTATATGTTCTTATGTTTCCCTGACGTCAAAGCTGTGGATATACTCTGCATCTCGCCCATGTGGCATGTGTGGCATGTGCTCAGCCTGAAGAAATGCTGGGGGAGAAGCGAAGTCGGGGGTTGGTGTCATCCCCCAGTCATCACCGTTTTTATAGGTGGGATGTTTACCATTCCCAGTCATAGCTGGTTTATGACATTGTTTTACCCACAGGAAACTGCCTGGTTAGGAGTTGGCTGAAACCATGATCATTTAAGACTAAACAAGCGTCTCCGATTTCATCAATGTCACCATGAATCATTGTGGCTATGGTTCAAACTGCCTGACTGTGAAACAACAACAACCCACGGGGTATTCATCATCCCAATGCGAACCTCAAGGATGCGGTTTTCAATGCGACATATCAACGGAAGCCACACGCCATGCGTATGTTAATCATTGTCCAAAGCCATGGCTTTGCAGGTACAACATGGTTGTGTTCATCTTTAAATGACTTCACTAAAAACATATAGTCGTCCTGGAGCAGAATATGGAAATGGAAGTTAATCTTCACTTAAATGGGAATCTCTTCGAAAATCCCCATATTCATCCATATTCTATCTATCTACTTCCGGATGATTATAGACCGTATGGATGTTCATCAAAACATGGGGAGAGGTTGGTTCACCCATCAGGCCTTTCCTGGATCTTCTAGATGCGCCTTACCTTCGCACCTTTCTGATCCAGAAAGGGGGGTTCAGAAAGGTACGCTATGTATCTTAGTGAATTTCACCAATTTGGGATGATGTCCCCATCCAAAGCATCATAGTAAATTCGCAGTGAAGTCGTTATAGTTTACCCACATCTACTGACCCAGATATCATATGTTGTCCGTCACAGTATATTATATATATACAGTATTATATATTATATTCCCATAAAATATCCCCATATTTTTGGGGGATTTTCCTATGTGTGTCACATGGTCAAAACCATGGTGTTTGAATTTGCTATGACCATCCTTTGGTGGGAAAATCACCCATGTCCAATGGCACATCTGCTGGAGGTTTCCTCGAAAAAGTGGGGCATCCCCAAGTCATGGGCTTCCCAGTTCTGGATTTTGGGGAGTACCCTCTGGTAAACATACAAAAAACTATGGAAAATCACCATTTTTCATGGGACAACTCACTATTTCTATGGCCATTTTCAATAGTTTTTTGTATGTTTACCAGAGGGTATCTGGTATTCTCATGTTAGGAAACTTCCCAACATATTGACGCCTGTTCCCAGTTCGCCGCAAACACGTGTCGGGCAGGGCTAATGTGCTGCGGCCGCACTTCAGGGCAGCGTTCATCACACAGCGCCTGCGGTTTGCTTAGCAAACCCCCGGTCTGGGGAGCTCGGTTTTAGATGCACCAAATAAACACATTGTTGGTTACAGTATAATATCCCTCTCATAATCTCATATTTTCAACAAAAAAACAACTATATCTCCTATCCCACTATATCATACTGGATCCCCACTATCTCCCAGCTTCTTCCACTATATCCCCACTATATCCCCACTATTTCGCAAGAAATCCAACACAAAATAGTCTGAGGTTCCCTGCTCCATGCGTGAGTCCAAGATGCTGCGACCTGAAATTTCAGGCCGCGGCATACGGCTCGGCTTTGTTTAGGTCATGTTTCCAGATGTTTTTTCCCATGAATAGTCCACTGGTTGGTGGCTTTAACTGGTTAATATATGGTTATTATATGGTCATTATATGGTTAATGATCTTGAATAACATGGTTTATCAATGATTACTGCTTGGTGGTTTTATATAACCATCTTGAAAAATATGATGGACTTCGTCAATGGGTTTCGGATGACATCCCATTTGAAATGGAAAAGAATCCAAATGGTTGAAACCACCAAGCAGATCCTATCTGTTTTGCCACATGTTCCATAGATTCCTACATTTTCCCATGATTTTCCCATGTTCCCAGATGGGGATGGGTCAAAACCCTGGCACCTAGTGAACATCAAAATTGCTGGTAAATGAATGTTCATCCCCTAACAAATTGTATCTATAGGTATTGGTCCCATGTTCCCAGATGTTTTCCCATGATTTTGCAATGTCTTTCCACGATCTTCCCCAAATTTCCCCCTGACAACTCGTTCTACGTCACCACTTTTGGCCAACGGCGCACCTTCTCCTGTGGCTTTCTCTCGGAGCGGTGCAGCATCCTTCTCCTAGGTTACTGTATATTTGGGGTGAAAAGTCAATTAGGTCTAACTATGGGATAATCATGTGGGCAAATGGATAATAACTAATAGTATCTAATAGTTATGAATTGGTTTAATGATTGATCACCCATGGTAATGGATGAATCTGTGGGATGATTATCAATGGTTGAATGATTATGGGAAGTGGTTATAATGGATGATAATGGTTACTACTCATGTGGGTCAAAGCCATGTTTACCATCCCCCAGCCATCACCATTTTTATAGGTGCTATGAACCATTCCCAATCATGGGTGGTTTATTTATGGTATTGTTTTACCCACATGAACTATGGGATTAATCGGATTTTAGTGAGATTTGCATGGATTGTACATGGGATATAAATGGGATGAATGGATAGAACTACGCAAAAATGGAGTATGTACTGGGACGGAATGGTATACAAGCGGGAATCATATCGAATATTGGAACTTATAACTGTAATATGGCAAGGGGTGTAACATATCTATGTTCACATTTACTGGAGAACTTAGTTATAACTGTAATATGGAAAATATGGCAAAAATATGTGGAAAATATTGCAAATATACACGGGAAACATGGGTATAGCTGCTATAGCTATGGGATCAGGCGATTTTAATAATGGAATCTTGGATGCGAATGGTATGTTATTATGAAAAGTCCATTATTCCATTCATATTCACATTCCATTTTAATATGCGGAACAGCATAGTCCATTCACTTGGTCCCATTCAGATAATATGTTTAAACCATAGCTATTGGAGTTATTGGAGTTGGATGTTACAAGGTGGTGCCACCCCAGTTACAAGTTGGTTTGTAAACCATAGTGAGTATATATATATATATATTATATATAGATATAGATATAGATATCTACCATAAACCGAGGCCATAGATATTGGAGGTATAAACCCACCAACTTAGCGATTCCCAACTGGGGCACCACCTTGTATTCTTATTCAATGGGAATGGAATATGAATGGAAAGTCTGCTTGCTTCAACTCTCAGCCATGGTGGATGTAAGGGGATGGCATTCTTGTCGCGTTGTAAGGCTATTACACTCATTTAATGACTTGGATTATGGTTCATACCATTATGGTTAAGTAGATTTATATTAGTTATATGATCTATGACTAATATATGTATACCATTATGGTTCATAGATCATATAACCAATAATTTCAATTTTTCATGGGGATTTTCATGAATTAAATGCGCATTTCATTGCGTCTGATATTGAAATTAGCTTATTGATTTTCAATATGGGGACGAATTGGGGGTGGGATCCGAGAAACAACCTTCAGTTGGGATCCGAGGACGAGGACCCCTTGGGGATTTCAACTCTATGGTTTTAACCATGGTTTTAACCAGATATTTTTGGTTGGGGCTTTACAATAGCTATACTTATGGGATAACAAAAATTTCAACAATCATATAAGTTGTTTTGTCATGAAACACCGACATTTATGCTCAAGCGTAGCCACTTGCTTCACCGGAACTGCACCCACTTGCGTAGAGATATTCAGGATTTGACCTACAGTTATTTCGATGATTTTCACAGCTAGAAAGCCTCCATTTATGGGACACCTGAGCACTTATCCGGCGGTTCTCAAGGGGCGCACCAGTGGAATGTATGCATTGTAACAGAGGAAGCACAAGATACCCTCTGGTAATTTAACATAGCTATTGAAAATGACCATTTATAGTGGATTTTCCCATTGAAAATGGTGATTTTCCATAGTTATGTTAGTTTACCAGAGGGTATCATTCACAAATCATGGGATAAAGCCAACATGGGGGATGGGATCATAACCAACGACTTCAGACTAATTTTTAGTAGCATTGGGACAATGGCATAGAATCAAGAATAATGGGTTAAGCAATAGAAATGATGATAAGATCCACAAAGATCAGGAGAAAAATCGGTGAAAGCTAGATATTGAAGAGTAACAGACCATGTGCAAAACCACTTATATAATAGAGCCAGGACTCAAGTATACCGACAAGGATAAGGGGTACATAAGCAACAATAGCATGTATATATAGTCATCTTGGAGTAGATAGAATAGGGGAAAAAAAACATCACTGAAATGGAAATACGTTTGAACATTCCCATCTTTTATCTACTTCAGGATGGTTACACTACTGTATATTAAAGTATGTTGTATAGTTAAACATATGGAGGTTCCTGAAATGGGGGTAACCCCAAAGCATCCATTTTAATAGGATTTTCCCTTATAAGCCATCCATTTTGTAGTATCCACATTTATATACCTATACGATTGATGGTCTTGTTTGATCCCATTGAGGCCAAACACAACACGGGTTTGTCAAAAAAAAACTATGGCTCATCATCCCAACATCTCATGGTTGAGAATGAAACAGTTGCCATAAATGTGGGTCATCCAATCCATGGTTTACACATTTTAGGACAAACCTTGGAGGTTGATTGATCCGCCAAAACTTCAACTTTGGTGGTATAATTGATAAACCCAACCCAAAAAATGTGAAAAAAAACTAAGTGTATTGCTATGATCCAAAAACCTACATGCCCCCGAAAACAGCTGCAATTGTAACACGCTTGCTACTCTCCGGGAATCAAACATGGCGGAGTTCAAATTGGGTAAGCCAAAAGTGGGACTTCTGTAAAACTTGGATGAAACTATGGCAGACTTCTCTTCTTTGCCGCAATCGATTGAAACCTCCATTGCCGTCGTTCTTTCGTTTGGGGAAAATCCATCCTGTGAATCCTTTGGACTTTCCCAGTGCTGGGCCAGCTGGGTGGCCCCGCATAGAGGTCGCAAACGCGCTCATAGTTCTCCACCTGAAACGAGATGAGACTGGCAATTTTAAGGTGCGGAAATGGGGATTTCAACTTTCCGGCAACGGGGCGTTAAGACTCACATAGATGAGCTAAGTAGCAAAATAGGGGGATGTTCTTACTCATTTGATCGGTTTAAGAAAAAGTCTACAAGAAACCCATGGTTCTTTTCCGGCGAAATATGGAGGAAGGGTCAATGTGCCCGCAAATATCAACTGCCCATGGGATGGTGGAGAATGGACATAGTCACACTCTTAGGATTCGAAAGGCTGCTGCTAGTGTTGATCCCTTGAGAAGTAATGGATGGAAAAATCACGTGCCATGGACTGCCATGGATTGAGCATGATTGATGTGTGTCTGCTTCTTGGCATGGGAAGGATGCCATCTTCAGGACTTTCTGTTTCTCCTAACTAAAAATTGGTGATAACGACCTAAAAGGATCTAAAAGGGACATTGCCGCAGTCAAAGCATGATGGGATGGTTTGGTGAACAAAACCGTGGAATCTCCTTCGGCCGGCCCTTCCGAAAGCACCTCGGAATGAAAGCGAATAAAGGCCGCAAGCACGGACAACCTAAGGGGTGTCCAGATGCAGGGCAGGGTTTGAAGGGGACCTCAAAACTGGCAAAAAACTTGGTGAGCCATTGGCCCAATGATTTCCGGCATATGATTCATGTCTATTCATGTAACCAGCCGGCTCAGCCGAATGGCCTAACCGAACCAACGTCCACTCCAATCACCTCCGAGGACCCCAAGGCCAGAACGACATCTGTTTGGAGAAGTGTTTGTAGGCGCTCTCCGCCTATGCCAGGAGTCCAAAGTGGACCGAGCCAACAAAAAAGTGACCGAGCCCGGGACGCCATTTAAGGGTGTCTGAAAAAGGGAAAATTATGATCCTCTGTTGGAATTGGGGATACCCCCGCTGCGAACCGCTTACCCAGAGATGGCCATCTATTACCTTGATGTAAATCTGATACTTAAAAAGGTACCCTACGGTCACTTTGTGCAAACAAATTTTCACATTGCAACCCCTCGAAATGTCCATGTTGTTTGCAAATCAATCCATGATATAATGACAAGTCTTCAACGGGTCGCTGGGTTCAACCCGCTGAAGAGTATGCTCGACCTTGGGGGTTAATCATACCATGTCGATGGTCGAACATTCAAAAAACATTAAATTGAAAACATCAATCATCATCATCATCATCATCATCATTTGGTTTTATTATAAGGCATATTCCACTATATCCCCACTTGAGGTGCTTAAACCCCTATACTTTGTTTGTTTTTTCTTACCCCCTGAGTCTGGCACCAGTGCAAAGTTCCTGGTCCTCAGATGGTGGAGGTTCCCACCCTGAAACACTAGACGGGACATGTTCCATAGCTATGTCGTATAAATTACCGGAGAATGTGAGATGGTTATAACATCTACTTCGGGGTTAAAGAATGCAAAGTTCAGGGTTAGGAGGGTCCTTGATAATTCTGCTCAACATGCTTAGAAACTCACCAAAAAAAGATGCTCCAAGGCTCTAAGCTTGTGATGTTGCAACCCTTCCCCTTGACATGATATATCAACTACCCTGAAAAATCCTCAGCCCTGGTAGATTTTTTCTAGATCTATTCATCTGGGTCCTCTCAGGGCCTAGGGATCCCTGGAAAAATTTGGATAACTTTGGGACCCTTGGGATCTGTGGATGGAATGGGTACCTAAAATGTTCAGACAGATCCATAAACTTTGTAATTTCAAGCCACTTACTGTAACTTGTGATAGCAATGAAAAAGTCATGAAAACATATATATATACACATTATATAATCAGATTATATATATATAATTAAGTAATTGTATATATATAGTATAATTTACTTATATATATATATGTGTATATGTACATTCAAACCGACATTCCGGTATGAAACTGATTCATGGTTTCAACCACCAGCTTTTTTTTGCGTGAAACAAACAAACCCCTGTTGGTTGATCAGTGATCTTATCCAAGACCTATTGGGATTATCACTTTTTTCTATCATAATCATAATGGTATACGGGATATTAACACTCTGTATAATGGTATATGGATATAATGGTATATGGGATTATCACTATGGATATTAACATCCAACATTATTCTATCATAATCCACTATGGGATGTTTGTAATAATATATCATAACGCATAGTGGAAGGTATCATAATACTATCATAATCTAATCTATCATCATTTCCCTATGATGGGAACACACCAGCTGGTAGATTTAGTGGTGTCACCATGGCGCTACAGGTCGCTGAATCGCATACCATCTGAGACGCCAAGCTGTTGACAACACAGCAGCAGGGCCAAGCAAAGCTCAGGTCCTCGCAGCCGAGCACAACTGCGGATGTTGGTGTTGGTTATACCCTCTGGTGAACTAACATAGCTATGGAAAATCACTATTTTTAATGGGAAAATCCACTATAAATGGTGATTTTCAATAGCTATGTTAGTTTACCAGAGGGTATACCTTCTGGTCATCAAACGATTAGCGAACTGGAAAATCACAACTTTGCCAGCGCTGGGGTCATCATGATGTTTATCATCGAACCATCCATGGGCCATTTTCCCGTGAAATCGCCAGAGGGTAAAGACACCAAATCTTTGGCGGAATGTGACCAGCGACCCTGCCACAGACCTTGCAGAAACAATCAGCCGGTATCATATCAATCGGTATATACAACATACAGTATCTTCCCATTTATCGCGAAAAATGGTGCCATGAACGTCTCAAGCATGGCTGTGGTGTAGATACTCAATGTACCCAAATATGGATCCAAAGAATGAGGATCAAGAGTCAAACCAGGAAAAGGACCAGACATCAATGTCATGTTTTGTAATGAAACCATAGCCAAACGACATGCGTCCTATTCCCAACTTGCTCACATCCCCCGTTTTGGTTTGTTTAATTCAGATTTGTTCTTTGCAACCCTCTGGTAATTGAACAGTCTTCTTTAATAGGTTTATCATCCATAAATGGGCCATCATCTATAATGTGGTAAACCCAACAATAAACGGGTTGTATACACCATAAATGGGTTGTATACACCATCCCGAGTTATGGTAGGTTTATATATACCATTGGGTTTACCACATTGGTGAATTCCTTTGGTATATAAAGCCCATTGGTAATTACACCATTGGGTAAAGGAATTACCATTTGTTATATATATATACCACATTACCATTGGGTTTATTGGGTTTATATACACCACATTACCATTGGTTATATATACCTGTGTTGTTCTTCCCTAAAAACTCAGCTTTCCCAGCTTTCGACAATGTCCTGCGTCGGACTTCTTTTCCAAAGCCTCCGAAAACAGGTTCTCGACCTTATCGTCTCTGCCTTGACAACGCCAAAACGTGGGATGGGAACCATCCAAACATGGTGCTTTAGCATGGTCAGACAGGGGGGATTTTGACGGCCTGAGATCCCCAGGCGCGAATAGACTCAGTGCCATACCACACTTGTGATGTTTACCCTCTGGTAAACGTTTACATAACTATGGAAAATCACCATGTTTAATGGGAAAACTCACTATAAATGGCCATTTTCAATAGCTATGTTAAATTACCAGAGGGTATTTTCTTGGGATTTCTTCAGTGGAAGGCTCCAGTTTCCTAAGTTCCGGGGCAAGCCTTGGTCACCCCAAGTTGACCTGAAAATCGCACTACCCTCCTTTGTGTCATCAGCTCCATGCCTGGAAAGTCCCACATTTACAGATTGTCCCAGCGAACGAAAGCTCCATCTTTGTAAGGGATTTTGCACGTTTGATGACACCGTTTTCGTGTATCTGGTTTCGTTGGGGATCATCCGATATAAGCTGGTTGGTGGTTAAAAAACCATCTTGAAACATATGAGTTCGTCAATGGGAAGGATTATCCATTCATATTATGGAAAATGAAATTCATGTTCCAAACATTTCCAAACCACCATCCGATACCAGAATCCACATCAACCTAAAAATGGCCACCAGCATCTGACCGGAAAGTCCTGTAACGATCAATGCAGCCAGCCAGTCCCAGCCAGTCGGATTAGTCATTTAAGGGATCCCAGGTGAGATGGAAGATGACAACTTAAATGGTTGAAACCAACCAGATGCCAATATGATAATGGTTGGATAATAATAGTTTCCACGTTTTATATGGTTTAATATGGATAATAATAATGGGATAATAATGGGATAACTGGGATAACAATACTGGTTGGTGGTATACCTACCCCTCTGAAAAATATGACAGTCAGTTGGGATGATGAAATTCCCAACTGAATGGAAAAATAAAACATGTTCCAAACCACCAACCAGATACGTGTGGCCGAAAACTCTTCACCAGAAGGGTAGAAGATCCTGTTGTTTCAGATTGGTCATCTCCGCCCATGTGATCCGTTGAACTTGGGTACCCATTTCTCACCGATCACAATCAATTGGGATACATAGTCAATGTTTGGGTACCCATTATACATGGTCTTACAAACAATGATTGCTCACATAGTCTGGGCATTCTGGGCATTCTGGGCATACCCGGCATCTGGACACGGCGGAATCAATCACCAAAAACAAATCAGATCAGTTCCTTTGGCTGATTACAAAATATTCCAAGGGTCAAGGGTTACCTTCCAAACTACCATAGCCATGAAAAATCACCCTCTTCAATAGATATAAATCAAATTAAATCAATATACATATACATATATATATACCCTCTGTTTATTTAACATAGCCATGGAAAATCACCATGCTAATATTGGAAAACCATCTATTTCTACGGGCCATTTCCCATGGCAAACTGTGAGTCATAACCAGAGGGTAGATCATCTCAAAACGCACCATTTTTCCATATGAATTACCGTTGGGGCACCCGTGTGCATCCACAACAACTCTAGGGAGATGAGTACTTGATGTGGTGCCCCCAAGATAGCTACTGTAACTTGCTGTATAACTACAGTGAACTCCTAGGCTTATGTGAGATATATCTATAGAAGGGTGAAACTAAACCATACTACACCAACAAACAGTTTGGGGGACAACATGGCCTCTAACTAGCAGTAGCATGAAGAACATCATTCCAGCCACTGCCAGCCATTGCCAGCCATTGCCAGCATCTCCATGCCATCCCCCAACGATCCGCCTTTGTAGCCCTTGATGAGCATCCCATAAGTTGACTCAGAGAAGGCCTTGGGCCGGACCGGACCGGCCACCCCACGGGACAGCCAGCCAAGATTCTCAGCAATGGGATCAGATACGAACAAGAGGACCACGATTCTCAGCCAGATCTGGCTCCAAGGCAAGAAAAAAAACCTCCCAAACTGATCTGGTTGGTGGTTTGAACCATCTTGAAAAATATCAGTCAGTTGGGATGATTATTCCAAATATATGGAAAAATGAAAATGTTCCAAACCAGCACCAACCAGTGATTTAGGAGAACATCCTGATTTAGGAAAATATGAAAGTCAGTTGTTCATCGTCTGGGGATATTCATGGATATGGGTCCCCTGCTACTGACCCATACCTGAACTTTTTCTTTAAAAAAGATCCGTTATGGGTACTTGGCATTATCAGTCGCGGACCAAGACGCATTGAGAAAGATGTCAACGCAGGATTAAGAACCCCTCCCAGCTTTGCATAAGGAGGGTCTCCTTGAAATAGTCAAAATCACTCTTTTTCAGTGCTCCGCTTGCAATTGAACTATTGGTGTATTATCTTCCTGCATAGAAAAAGTATGGTTCCCATCATTTCCAGATTTCCAGCTTCTCTATCTATCCGGGTGACTGTCTGACTGTCTGAAAATCGAAGAAAACCCCAAAAATCCACAACGGTTCATAAAGTTCCCTCTTAAAATGGTTGTTTGTAGGTATACCCAATTTTTAGACACACCCAATGTGGGTTTCTGTGGGCTATAGTGGGATATAATGGGGGTATGACATCATACTATTATGGCACATCATAAGATATATAATATAATAGGATATAGCCGACAATCTGGGCTCTATCTTTCAACCACACACCTGGATCCAGCACAAATATCCCATGTCCTAAAGGTCCAAATAGTCCTAAGAAGGAATGTAGCCAACCAACATTATCATTAGCATATGCCGAACAAGTTCAATTCATCACTATGTTAGGTTTGGATTTTCGGATTTTACTTGTTCCTCATCTTTTTTGGGGTTGCTATCGGAGCAAATCCACCAGCATCCACCAACATCCACCACCAAGGCCCTACCCGGCCCTACCCCCTACCACTCGGTGCCCAGGCTAGACCCTTCTCACGTCCCAGGCGTTCGACCTCATACCACAGCGCAACAGGCGATATTTTGGGCGTGGAAAAATAGGATGCATGTTGTTTTACCAAGTAAAAATGTGGATTTACATCGGTTTACCCTTTGGTAATGCAACACTTTGCGATGGAACACCATTTAAAACAAGAAACAAATCATCTATATACGAATAAACGATGTTCTATTGCTATGTTAGATTACCAGAGCATACCCAGCAAACATATGGGTCTCCTTTCCATTTCAACCCCTAAGGTTTACACTGGTTACATTAGTTTTGGTGGAGAACAGACTTTGACCCAGCACTTCGGCTTCGGATGATTACCCTCTGGTCATCAAATGTGGACATGGAGAATCTCCGAACAATTTTTGCGAAGATTTTCATGGGCCTTCCCCTCTGGTGAAGTATAAATTCACATAGATCCTATGTAAAACACCCATTTTTAGTGGAACCGTTCATCTTGCAACCCCCAAGTCATGGCAGGGTCGTCATGTTCGTTTACTGCAGGCTAATGTAGGTAAAACAATCATAAACCATCCCCCGGTCATCACCATTTTTATAGGTGGTATAGATAACCATTCTCAAATGGGTGGTTTATGACATTGTTTTGCCCACATTTATCATTGTTCTACATCCACATTGTATGAATTGCCCTCTGGTAAACTAACAGTTTGCTATTGAAAATGGCCGAGAAATAGTTGATTTATTGATTTACCCGTTAAAAATGGTGATTTTCCATAGCAAACTGTTAGTTTACCAGAGGGTCATCATCCTTTCCTCATTTTCCGATCCTCCACATTATTAACCATTATTAATAAAATTATTAACCATTAATTATTGTTTTACCCACATTAAATCACTACAGGTTGATCCTTCTCCTCTCTTCGCCTGCTCCAAAAGCTCCACATCCTTTTCGCGAACCGCTTCCATGACCATCAGATGGATCACCTGCGCGTAGAAACCGCACGGACGAACTTCTCTGGCGTATCAAAAGCGCAGAAATATGGATGGAAAACCCCAAGAAATTGAGATTTCATCACTCAAGATGCAAAAAACATTGAACAACTGGGGGGAAACATGTGGAAACATGGAGAAAAAATTGAAATCGTACTAACAAATGATGGTTTTTGCTATGCAAATGGCAATGGCCATTACGAAATGGTGTTTTTCGCCATCCAAAACATCATTTGGACTTTAGCCCCATGCTGTGGCCATGGGAACATGATTTTCAAAACAACTGTGGGGGTACAGTGCTCTAATTGGGGACAAATTCACGGGGGGATGATAAGCCACAAAAACATCCATATACCCTGAATCCATCCTCGATCCAAGACCAAACCAGGGGGTTCTGTGAGCTGAACCCCCCATTTCTGGAAACCAGTGGTTGAAAGCGTTTGTCCACGTCGATGTTATACCTTTGCTTGCTAAAAAACGGGAGTACTCCTCACTAATTTCTGAATCCGAGTTGGGTCCTGCAAAAATAATAACTAAGCATCAACACCAATGTCGATGCTAAATTCATGGCTGTACACCTATTTTTTGGATCGCCAATCATTCAACAAGCTCTGTCTCCATGTTTGTTGGTTAATTCGCTTAAGCCTCCATAATCCCAATTTTGCGGGCTAAAACCCATGTATTGTTGGTTGAATGTTGGACTTGTTGCTGTGTGTCCTAATATCTCCTTTTTGAATCTTTTTGATAGCTCAATTCCCCATGTTTGTTGGATAGTGCAATATAGTGCAATTAGATTCCGACTTTGGGTGGCGGTGGTCATGCAATTTATCTACTACTTGGTTTAACACCTATTTGTTGATCAAACCCCAGGTCTTCAACGTTTGGTTCAATCCAGATTGATGAAATCCCCATCTTTGTTGTCTCCCCATGTTTCCCAGCCGCTGGATGACTCAATCCTTCGATTTTTCCCGGTGAAATTCCCATGGAATCCACCATTGCCGTGATTGCCGCTTCATATCCCGTGTCTTAGCTGGGTTTGTCTGAAAATAGGGTATATTCCCAATTATAGCCATTTAATAGGGATAATGATCATTAACCATTGGGTAAAAAGGGGTACACTATTTTCAGACACACCCAGCTGGGTTTTCTCGTGACCTCAGCATTTTCACCCCGTCTAAATAGGTTCGCAGAACAGCTTCCCGCGGCCGCGGTCAGACATCAACAGCTGCACCGCATGGCACATTTGTTTCCACCATCCCAGGAAGGGACCTGCTTAGCAGGTTGCCAAGCAGCTACTAATATGATCCTCCAAGCATTCCACCTATTAAATACCACTCAAATGGGTCCCCCAAATATGCATAAATCCGCCACATCCACCATGTTTTAGGGGGGGTTTAAAATGAACTGGGGAAGGGAAGGGATTATCCCATTCAGATTACATCAACACTAACATTCCATTCAAATTCCATCAAGATTCCATGCACATATCTACTTATAATATCCCCTTATCATCCCATTACAACCGTATAATCCCATGACCTATACCCATTTTTTCGTAGATGTGTGTCATATTTTCACACTACACCCAGTTGAGCAATCTCGAAAACTCCAGGGTCACGGAAAGGACATCCACAAATTTGCACAGGTCCTATCGCTTACCTCGTGTTTTTACAATTTCCAGAAGCCAATGTCCATCCCGAAAACATGCTTAATATTGCCGGAGTTTTTGCGGTGGCGCAGTTAGTAACTGGTTGGTGACCCTGGTGTAGGTTATAAGCCTCCTTACTAACCAGTTAGCAAGTGAAGAGATCCTCCAATATTATGTCCCTATCATATCCCCATTATCTTCCCAAAAACATTCCCATTTACACCTCGCTATGGTTTTTTTCCCTTATCACATGATCTCCCCATTTCCCACTATCTCCCCCCCATTTTTGCCATATCTTCATATATTTTCCATATTACACCCATGACCCATAATCCCATTACATCCCATGAACAATCCATTCAAATCCCCTTTAAAAATCCTCTAATCCCATCTGTTCTCCCCGTTAAAACCATCCATTTTTTGTATTACACCCATATTACACCCATATTTTCCCATATTACACCCATATTTTCAACCATCTCACGTAATTTGCCATATCTTCATAGATTTCTCTCATAGTTCTTCCCATCCCTTTCCGCCCTCGTTCCAGTTGGTAGTCCCAACCTCCTCGGTGAGGGGCACACTGGCCAGCTCCGGCAAGAAGCGCTTGAGTTCGTGCTCCTGGGCGCGTCCGGTCCCTTCCGGGAGCCGAAAAGTTCACGGCGATGGAATGGGATGATCATGTGAGAACCCCAAGTCGGAGTGGTTGAAAAGTGGAAAAGTGTAGAAAGATTGTGAATATGAAGTAGAAATATATACATATATACATATGATATATATATATATATATGATATATATATATATATGGTATATGAATATGTGATATTATAAGATCGTGGAAACACGCTTGGCATCCTATTTTCGAGTTTGCTGTAACATAATGATAGGATAACAATAGGACTTACAATTCCTGGGATGCACATCCAAGTAGCCGGTCATAGAGGTTTGATGGAGTTTGATAGGTTGAAGCTGGGTTTGAAGCAGTAAACATGTCCATTGATGCGATTTAAGCAAACAAAATGAATCAACATATGCTTTGGAAGCCAGTCAAAATAATGATTAGAGCAGCCAAAATGCTGATTTAAAACCCGCCAAAATGAAGTTTTAAGCAACCAAAATGGGATTTAAACAAACCAACAAGATGCAGCCCACGAACCCGAATGCAGTCACGTAAAACACTTTTGCAAAACAAGTTATTTGAAACGTCTTGTACTTTTTCCCCTGGTACCGTACCAGTGCACTGTAGACTGTGGGATGTGGAATGGGGTGGAATGCGAAGTGTGGAGTGTGAAGAAAAATGTGTGGGGAGTGGGTGTGAAGTGTAGAGTGTGAAGTGCATGTGAAGTGTAAAGTGTGGAGTGTAAAGTGTGGAGTGTAAGAGTAAAGTGTGGGTGTGGAGTGTAAAGTGTAGAGTGTGGAGTGTGGAGTGCAAAGTGTAGAGTATGGAGAGTAACGTGTAAAGTGTGGAGTGTAAAGTGTAGAGTGTGGAGTGTGGAGAGCACTGTAAAGTGTGGAGCGTAAAGTGTAGAGTGTGTAGTGTAGAGTGTAAAGTGTGGAGTGTAAAGTGTAAAGTGTAAAGTGTGGGGTGGAAAGTGTGAAGTGTAGAGTGTGAAGTGCAAAGTGTGAAGTGTAAAGTGTGGGAGTGTAAAGTGTAGAGTGTGGAGAGTAACGTGTAAAGTGTGGGAGTGTAAAGTGTAGTGTAGTGTAGGTAGTGTAAAATGTAGAGCATAGAGTGTAAAGTGTAAAGTGTGGAGTGTAAAGTGTAGAGTGTGGAGTGTGGAGAGCACTGTAAAGTGTGGAGCGTAAAGTGTAGAGTGTGGAGAGTAACGTGTAAAGTGTGGAGTGTAAAGTGTAAAGTGTGGGGTGGAAAGTGTGAAGTGTAGAGTGTGAAGTGCAAAGTGTGAAGTGTAAAGTGTAGAGTGTGGAGTGTGGAGTGTAAAGTGTAGAGTGTGGAGAGTAACGTGTAAAGTGTGGAGTGTAAAGTGTAGAGTGTGGAGTGTGGAGTGCAAAGTGTAGAGTATGGAGAGTAACGTGTACAGTGTGGAGTGTAAAGAGTAGAGTGCAGAGTGTGAAGTGTGAAGTGTAAAGTGTAGAGTGTGGAGTAAGGAGGATAAAGTGTAAGTGCGGAGTGTAAAGTGTGGAGTGTGGAGTGCAGCTGCTTGGAAACCTTCGAAAAGGAGAGGTTTTGCAGCTTCCCACATTAGACACGGCGATGGCCCGAGACGAGACATGTTAAAGCCTCAAAACGAGCATTTCGTGGGAGACTGCTTCAAATTTTCAGACTTTGTATCTCAAAATCGACGTTTTTTGTACGTGGTTGTCTAACGAACCCTAAACTCAGCTGCCTCAAAATCGATGTTTCGTGCGAGGCTTCCGGCAATTTTCAGTGGCAAATCTCACAAAGCGCCACTCCTGCCACAGAATTTACACCTTGTCACCACTTGACGCAGCCCTGACAATGCGATTCGCAAAAAACACGCAACATGACACGTCTAAAGTGCTGCGCCTACCACGCAGAAGGACGATGGAGGTCTCCAAAGTGCTGCACCTGCACGAAGAATGCAACGCATCTACTGAAAACGTGGCAAAAGTATTGCACCTGCCACAAAAAACGACTTTCGACATGTTACGAAACACGTCTGAATGCCACGAAGTGCCACGCCTGCCACCCAAAACAAAGCTCTGCGACGCTGGAAACATCCAAAAGCGACCCCTTTTGCAGAACTCACCATAGGCACGGCCATATGGCCCTCACATGAACGGTTGCGAACGGTTGCGAACGTAAACGCAACGTCGAGCAAACACACCCTCAACCCCCAGACCTCCAGAGTGAAAGGGGAACCCTTGCTACGCATTCGGGAAAAAGGTTTAAAAAAACTTCAATCGCTGGGTGAGCCAGAGAGAGAGAGAGAGAGCATGGTTTTAATTGCCATTGAACATCTGGAAAATCATGTTGATCATGTTCTGATCTGATAGTGGCAAGAAAGAGACATGAGTATGTCTGAAAATAGGCTGTCCCCAAAATTCAATATCTTGTCATAATCGTCCGACTAAAGTGGTTACCCTCCGCTAGTCAAACGTTACGAAATGGCCAGGCGCTTGGTATGATGGAAGCATCATAAGCATCGCTGCTACGTGGCAAACAATAAGGATTTCCTATAGAAAACTATCGGCAGTTGGTTCAAACATGTTCAAAACGATTCAAAACATATGTATTTACCAAGCTAAGATTCCTGCTATGATCATTGATTCGGGGTGCTTTTTTCAAGCAGTGTAATTGATGCTCTTCAGCAAGCTATCGCAACAGGTTTGGCGCATGAAATGTCCCTGAAATGTCACCAGTCACGACGTCTGGTCCCATGGCTCGGAAATCCGATGGTTCAGAAAATCGTCTAAACCACTGGTTCTGACATGCAGAGTTCGCCATAGAAAATCCCCAAAATAAATATGGAGGTTCTAATGCTGGGAAAATATTCTACTTCTATGGGCCATCTATACCATGGCTATGTTAAATAACCAGAGGGTAAGTCTTCATATCGCATGGTCATTTTGTGCGGCATAACGTTAACCCAAATTGCTAAACCACCGGTTTTCCAAGGCGGTACCAATGTAATCCTTTTGTAAAATAGCGATGTGGAAAAGCCATGAAAAGCCACCTTGAATGTAGATCATTGTCCTTGGGTGTCACAGTTTCACCATGGATGGATCCCCACATCGATTCGTTACCCTCTGGTAAACGTTTACATAAAACTATGGAAAGATCCACCATGCTATTAATGGGAAAATCCACTATAAATAGCCATTTTCAATAGCTATGTCTGACATAACCAGAGGGTAGTTCTTTGGGTAGTCATCGTCACCAACCAGGGGGGTTCACTCATCCGAAGTCCTTGCAGGCCATGTCCACTAGCTGCGCTACCTTGGGGATGTCGCGCTTTTCGCGGTTTTTTCACACCATGGGATGCCGTGGCAATGGAAAATGGCGGTGATGAAGGGGATGTCCATTCTGGCTACGCCTGCCCTGCTTGACGGGAGAAATAGTTCCCTTCTTTGAAGATGAATAAGTTATAATATGTTATAATGGTCCGCAATGACAAAGTTTTCAGGTGCTCTTGGCGGTTCCCAATGTTGCCCAATTCTAGAGTTATCCAGCGGAGGGAGCGGTGGAGCTATGGTTGTATCCATAGTCCTGAGTGGCCAAGAAGCTACAATCAGAGATTCAATCCCAACCACTGGATATACCATCCACCATTTTCAATAGGTAAAACCATCTATTTCTATGGGCCATTTCCCATGGCTATGTTAAATAACCAGAGGGTAGGATAGAATCATAATTGCTAATCATATTACCCTCTGGTAATTTAACATAGCTATGGAAAATCACCATTTTTAATGGGAAAATCCACTATAAATGGCCATTTTCGATAGCTATGTTAGTTTACCAGAGGGTACTGTAATTATTATCAATCAATCCCGTATCCCATTATCAGCACATGTTCATCCCATTCATTCAAAGTTACACCCTCCAATAGACGAACGCAAATATGGTGGGGGAAAAAATGAAGGGTGTATCCTTTGTCAATGAAAACCCCTAAGGATTTCCATAGCTATGCTAGGTTTAACCCTGTGGTTGTTTAAGAGTTTGCTGTGGAAAACCGCCATTTCAATAGGTTAATCATCATGTTTATCATCTAAAACTGGCCAAGGTGAGACCCTGGATGGATACCCTGTTCCATGGGAAAAAATATCAAGGTGGACGAAAACAGAAGAAATCCCCATCCTTGTAGCATCATGTTCTCATCAAAATGGCTGTTTGGGGATATACATCAAATTTATAAATTTAAGACACATCCAGATGACAAATATCAATACTCTTTCAGCAGGATGGTACGATCTTTCATCAAAGATGAACAGAAACAGAAGACATCAACCGTACAAGAAGCGCCCCCACTTTGAAATTCGTCTAAATGTTATTTCATAAACCCATCCAAATATAGATGTCTTGACCATAACATCTCAACCTCTCACTGGGTCTCCTGGCAATCTGTCTGGGAGCCGTGGAAGGGCCGACGTGACCTGACGTTTTTTGGGACGGCCATGGGATGAAAGTTGATTATTGGCATCATAGGTTATTTGATTCATAATGGTTAATATTGATGGTTATTATACGGACCATTGTGGTTAATATACTGTTGATAATGGTTGATAATGGTTAATGTTGATGGTTATTTTATGTTATTATATGGTTAATGATGGTTAAGTTCATAACTGCTTGGTTCCAACATTATTGAAATAATCATTGATTCATAATTAATGATGATTTGATTAATGTGATTAATGATTTTGTTTTGACCATGCTGGATTTTCATATGACTATTTGATGAAAATAATCCTAATTTTTCCAATACTCATCCCATGGGATAAATATCAAATATCATAGATGATTATATAATATGATTACTGGTTGGTAGTATACCTACCCCTCTGAAAAATATGAAAGTCAGTTGGGATGATTAATTCCAATATGATGGGAAAATCATAAAAGCCATGTTCCAAACCACCAACCAGATTAGTAATTCTGGTTCTATCCATGTGGCTGAAAAAAACTCTGGTAGCTCCGCAGCCCTAAGCTCCCCACTTTAGGAAATATGATCGAAATATGATACCCTCTGGTAACCTAGCATAGCTATGGAAAAACACCATTTTTAATGGGAAAATCCACTATAACTAGCCATTTTCAATAGCTATGTTAAATTACCAGAGGGTAGAAGCTGGATAGCCCTAGCTCCGAACAGCTCCCGCTGAACTAGTCGGAATAGTCTGGATGAGATTGAATTTCCAACCAGCTTCTGGAGATGCAATGGCGAATAGAATGGGATTTCCCAAGGGATACCATGGGAGATGACGGGATGTAACCGGAGAAATATCACCAACAGATGAATTCGAGTAAGTCCAAGAAAATCCAGAAAAGTCAAAGAATCATTCGTTACTGTACATCCCAAAAAAAATGGTAGATTAGATCCTGAAAGCAAGATCATAAATGGTACTGTAGGTCGGATTTGATCAAGAAATCATCATATGAAATCATGGAATAAAGTGCATAAAGCGACAAAAAAAAACTGAAAATCTGGAATTGAACAACTCCAAACCATCGCTTTTTCCATCGCTGGACCTTTATCCCTCTCCAGAAGCAGCTCGCGAACCTTGCCACAAGGATTTGAGCTCTCGAAAGGTCGCAAGAGCCTTGGCCAAGATTCACCGATCTAATGCGATTAGATCGGTCGAAGCTGATTGCCTGGTACCCACCAGGATTGTGAAAAATTGTTTAAACAAAGGTGGAATATGATTTTTCTATGATGCAATATATATTATACAAGTACACTTGCTGATTATAACTGGACCCACCAGGATTGTGAAAAATGGTATAAATAAAGGTGGAATATGTTTTTTCTATGATGCAATATATATTATACAAGTACACTTGGAGAATAACGAATTCTCCGATCTCAAGGCACCATCTACTGCAACTCGCGGCATGAACATTTCACCAAGACACATCCTCAAAGTTCTCCGTCTTCAGAGCAGTCTTGATGATGACAATGGAAGCACGCGTGGTCAATGGTACCTGTACTGCAGAGCGGTTGCTGGTCCCCACACAGCTGTCGATACATTCTTGATTCGGATGCGTCATTTTTTTCAGATCTGTCGGCATCACAGATTTTGAAGATCATTTGGCAGGAAATCCTCACAGGGCTTCGCATTTTTTAGACCGAAACCAATGGATCTACAAGGCCAACTGAGACCGGGTTGCCACTGACAGCGCTGGTCACGGCCAGTCACAGTAGAACCCCTGGTGAGACAGGATATATTTGTTGCATCGTAACCATTGCATTAGTTCTGTAAATGTCCCATTATTTGCTGGTCTTGCCTCCTGTTTTGGGTGGCCAGGCATCGCAAATCGCAAAACCTACAAGTGGTTCTTTATGGCAAAAAAACATGTTTGCTGGTAATGGCACCACGCAACCTCCAAAATTTATAAGCTGGCAATGGAAAATCTCAAATATATAGATTCTTAGATGATGTTCAACACGTGTCTCCTGAAAAAAGAGGCATTTGCCCGCCAGGTCAGACTTCCCCGGGAATGAGGCAAATCAGCCCATGTTGCTGGTGAAATCCGCCATGTTTGGTGCCTAAATCCAAAATTTTTGTTGAGTGGTTCGACCTGCATTTTTGGCCAAAATTCCTCCATGTTTCTGGGTAAATTACAATATTTCACTAACCACAATTAAGGCCATTTGGGGATGATTTCCCTTATTAACTATCATTCCAGTGAGGTCGCAGTGAGGTCGTGATGAAATTTACCCAGATGTTTGGTGAAATGGCCCTGATTTGTTTCCTCACCTTGGCGGCTTTGGCTTGTTCCACCATGGCATTCACACGCTGAAAGTTCCTCATCCTCAGGATGCTGCGGGGCTGCAGTTGAGGCGGAAAAACCCCCCACAGGTTGGGAAAAATGGAGGCCCAACAGCATCCTATAACTATGGTTATATATCTCCACATATATATATATATATGTGTATATATATATATGTATATATTATATATATGTGTATATAATATATATATATATGTATATTATGTATATATAACTGTGGGATTAGAATGGATTAGACAAATGATTGGAAATAGAATGGTTTCTGACATTTCTGATCAAAATGGTGGCGTCTGAAATCCGATGGTTTCTGATTTCCGTAGGGAAATGGATCAGACAACATTGATCATTGGATTTCATACGGAAATTGATCAGAACCCGTTGGATGTCAAACATGGGATATTGTGGATTCTGGTTTCTCTATGAAAAATTGAATGAAAACCCAAATTGGGATCCAATGTGGAAAGTGGTTCCCTATAAAAAAGCGGATATTGTGGATGAAGAATTAATTGATTTTTGTAATTGATCAGAAACCGTCCATAGGCAAGGGTAGCCTATTTTCGAATAAAGCTATACTCGTACCAGCAACTGGGACATTGTGGATTGATAACGATGAATGGATATGGTGGTTTCCATAAATGGTGGTACTCCAAAATGGATAGTTTATAAAGGAAAATCCTATTAAAATTGATTTAGGGTACCCCTATTTCAGGAAACCTCCATACCAATGATTTTATTTTCATAGTAACCCGTGATCAATGGGGATTTGTTGGGAATGGGCAGGTATCAAGTCAGCTGTGTTCAAAACCCGCAACGTCATTCTTTTTCCCTTGGTTTTGCAACAGGATTGCCATGATTCGTCATTCCATGAGCCCCAAATAGTCAGGTCAGCAGATAGTAACAGGTCCCCTATCTGCTAATTCATCCACCAGGGACACCTGGTCACTTTTCAACTAGCACTGACGAGAAGTTTGACAGTGAAAAACCAACAGTTCAAATGCCAACTTCAGAATGGGATTCCAACCGTTTGTAGATCAAGATAGTTGGCGCACACAAAAATGTCGAGATTGAGCCAGCCAGACTACGTACTGGTCACAACCAATGGTGGTTCACCAAGTAATGGCTCTAGGATACATCAAAAAAGGAATAAACAATGCAATCAATGCATCCGGATTGACCCAGTGAATGGAAAACACGTTGTGATTCATCGTACAAAGTGTGGCGTTTTATGGTGTTAAGATCCCGGGTAGACAGCGTTTCACAGCATCACTGTGATTCCAGAGCTATACCTGAAATGTCAAAATTGATGTTGACCCTGGTTAGTTGAATTGGAGGATCACCTGTTTCAGTCTCACGATGTCTCACGTGATCACTTGTTCCGGGGAGCCGCCTAGTGGCCTAGTTAATCCTCCAGGTCGTATTGATCCATTATTGAACGTGACCCCAATATAAAGATCTGATTGCCCTCATCCAAAGCAATGGCTCTGTCTGAAAAATGAGTTACACTGTGTACACTCCCAAAAATGACCATTTTTTAGCAGGCAAAAATGGAATGGAGGGATTCCGAAATTCCTCTCATTTTCAGGTACCAGACCAGCCTCACGTCTCCTTGGGCTCCCGACGTGAAGTGCATGTTCATGAGAATCTCATAGCTACGGCTATCTAAAGTGAAGCCTCCCAGTGCCAGCTACCAGCGGAATCCACGGGTCTATGGTCGATATTGGTAAATCCGAGGGGCTTTGGAGTGCATCTCTTTAATATCTTTTTCAGGTTCTTTCTAATAATCAGAGCTAATTTCTGAAGAATAATCATCCCAGGTTTGCTTCAAAATTGCTTTGTCTGAAATGACAAATGACCAGAAGAAATGGCATCCATTTTGACCCATCCCCGTCCCCAGCAGGTTTCGCCTGCGGGCAGAATCTTCAGGACTGAATCCACGAAGTCAGAATCATGACCTGAGCGCGTTTGGGTCGTGCGCTGAAGCCAATCAGAAATTGGGATACAACCAGCAAATACCAGCAAGAATGATGGCTGTACCTGCAAGAATTTTGGGTGTAACCAATCGAATAATACAGGGTAGGAGGGGGTAACTAGCAAAGGTGCGGGTGAAGAATCCGATTACGACCAAGCAAAATGATCGGTTTACATGTTTCCCCACAAGAATTATTGGTATTTCAAGCCCTGCACACGATGAAACGCAGAAATGACGTGTGTTTATGGGTCAATAGGCTTTGACCCATCCCCATTTGACCGTGATCATCTCTACATGTCTATTTGAAGGATAGCTCCATGCTTGTAGCGTAAGGACTTAATTTTTCTAGCCCGTTGTATGATATCTGTCTTTTACCATGCAAGGGCTTGGAAATCCTTGCGTAGCAACAAGAGACCACTTTCTACTGAAAACATCTGAAAGCGCAACACTAAGGATGGGTCACAGCATAATCCTTGCAAACAGAACCTTGCTGCCTGGAAAAAGTGGTTTGGATTCGAACCCAACTGCCGAAAGCAATATCACAGAGTTCGGCTGGCAAAAAGGCTTTCCCGAAAACTCAAAGAACTTGGCCGTGCACCCGAAGTGCAGCAGGGTTTGCATGTATCATTAAACCTTCCTCGGATATGAGCAGCAGTCAGTAGCACTATTGAAAATCACCTCAAGGACGGAAGCAGCACGTCGCCGCAACGTCAACGCTGCACAAATCATTCAGCCCAAGCTGTTTTGAACCTGGAGATGGAACGAACTGTACATTTACGTAATGTAAGAAGTGACATGTATCAACAACGGCACCAAAACGTCAAGAAAAATCTCGCATCAAGGCACCCAGAACCAGAATGATGCTTGAGTCAAGAATGTTAAGCCAGGATTTTGCTAAACCCCCAGTTTTGATGTATACGGGGGTACCAATCTTTTGATACTAAGTTCTCACTATTTTGCGGGGTATCCCCCCAATCACTAGTAGGGTGGATTTTCCTCAAGGGCTGACATGGAAACAGTCACCGCCAGGGAAACGGAGCTGATTTATGTCTCCCAGCTGTCGCCTCCCGACTTATCATAATTGATCTGGGGTCCTATCATGTTTTATCATGTTTTATCTACGTTTCTTGGATGTCTCCTCATCTGGTTGGTGGTTTCAACCATCTTGAAAAATATGAGTTCGTCAATGGGAAACATTTTATCCCAATATATTATGGAAAATAATCCAACCATGTTCCAGTCACCACCAACCAGCATAGATATGGTGATCATAAAGCTGGAGCCAACTCAGTACTCTCAGAAATGCTGTGTTCCCGAAGAGATTTGCTAGTTCTATCCCATCGCAATTGGAAAACCCATTTCTGTGCCACTGTTAGTGCCATGATTTACTGTGTCTGGCTTAAAACCGATGAACGGGATTGTAGATCCATTGTGACTCCTTGAAGAAATCTCTTGGGCTGCCCAGATCCATTGAAATCCTCATCTTTGGTTACTGTAAAATCACGTTAAACCCATAGAAACATCCTCATGTTTCGTTGGAATCCCATTGTTTCCAGCTTTTTCGAAGCACCCAACTACGTCCCCCTGCGCTTGGCTAAGGAGTCCAATAAATCCTCAGGCTGGGGAAGTCACCCGGGGTATGGGTCAAAAATTTCCTGCCCTATTCCATCGATTTAACTAGATGATGGATGATGATGGTACTTCTGTCAATGGTAATTTACTGGTCTACAAACATCAAAAATGGGATAATTAAGTGACAAAAACCAAGAATAATATGGAATAATGAGCATGCCAAGAGCAATGCAACGTTTCACGGGTAGCTAGTCAGGATAAGTCCAGTCATTTGTACACCAAATATCGGATATGGCGCTTCAGGTCGTGAACGCTGAGGTGGTTTACATAGTTTACTAGTATGACTGTTGGGCTTATGGTACTTATAAAGTTAATAGATGTTAATAGGCTGAAACTAAACCAACAAACATAACTTGGGGGCACCACCAAATATGGGATGTGTAGTACTTCCGTGAGTCCAAACTGGTCATCCAAAGATGTTTGACCCGTTAAAAAAAGTACCCAAGCAGCGCTGGTTCAATGTCTATGTTGGATGGTCAAACCAAGTTCGGAAGTGGTTTATAACTGCTATATAAAGTTCATATGTATATATATATACATATATAACTGGTGATATGTCCATATGTATATATATATATATACATAGTTATATATTATATATATTATATATATAGCTGGCATTTTTGCTAGGATTCTTACCCACTTAGTAGATGGTATGCACATCTTTTGTTGCTTCAACACCCCCGTGTTTGATCATGTTTGCGAGTGAAATCATTGGCTTCACAAGGACCTCATTGGGTCATTCAAAGTGACTCCCATAGCACAACGGCTGGGCCATCGGAACGTTGATCGTCTGCATCTTGCATGTGCCTCAGTTGAGGGGCCCTTCATGACCCATATAAGCCAGTAGATGCCCGAGAAGATCTGAGGTCTAAGATCTTAATTTTATGTGCCAATTATGTGTTCTGTTTATCTGTATTTCATGGCCAAAAACAATTGCAAAATCTTCCCAGTAGATTTCTCAAATGGCAACTGGTGGGCAAATTCAGAATCTTCAGAAAAATGAAGATGGGTTTCCGGTGGCCCGGGAGTCAACAGAACCAAGATCAACAGCAGGTGTGCATGAGTATGTAATGAGTCAGACTCAGGGCAAGATGTTGGTCGTTAGGAGATTGTAGCATCAGTTGACGAACAACCGATCGTGCCATCTAAATACCCCCGGCCCCGAAACCTCTTGTATTGGATCGCCAAAATGCTGGTATCTTGACATTAGTGGATGGGATTAAAAAGAACTACCATGATGCCATGGCTAGTTCAGGGATTGTTGGATCAGCGGAGGAAAATTACCTGGGAATAATCATGCCCTTAAAAGGACAGCTCGGCCCCCAAATCGACTGAGCACATCTGGCCATGGGCCATATCTCGGGGGGAAAAAAAACATGTTCAGACGCAGATGCCATATGGTTGGTTATATGGAGGTGTCCTAAAATCCCATTATATCGTCATGATATTATACTTAGTCTAAGATAGCAACTATATGGTGTCCATCCCCCATTGGCTCGGCATCCTGGTCCACAGCCATTGGTTGCTTCAAACCCATCTAACAGCCAACGCGAATCGGTTCCATGCCCAAAAAAAAGTACTTTAAGTGAATAAAATCATATGAAACCCCATCTTTCACGATGTTCAATGACATATTGCTATATATTCTCATGTCACCAGCCACAGTTGGGCCATTAAAAGCGGCTAAAAACACCCACAAATCAAGGCATAAAAACCGTTGGGGCTTCATGGCTTTTCCCTTGGGAAAAACCATAAGTGGTGATCGGAGATCTCAACAGCAATGCGATGGTTGGGTTTCTAAAAACCATACCCTCTGGTTATGTCAAAATAGCTATTGAAAATGGCCATAGAAATAGTGGATTTACCCATTATAGTTATGGTGATTTTCTATAGCAAACCGTTAGTTTACCAGAGGGTAAAACCCCTAGGGTTTTGCTAAGAAGAATTGGTCTATTTTTTCGAAAGCCCAACCGACTCGCACAGCCGAAGCAACTGCGGTGCTTCGTGAGGTATGCCGAAAGCTCTCCTGGGTGGTGGGGAGGTATTTTTTGGCATCCCAAAGCCGATTTTGGCCAGCAAAAATGTGGTAAACCCTATGTCAACCCATGGTAACCATGGAAATAATCATAAGGTTCATAAGGTTCGGTGGTTTTATACACCTTAACAATTGGGGGTTGCTTTTGGCTTTTCCACATCTGGGCAAACATATGCGTATAGAATGATTCCTAAATCAAAAACAAGACCACTTAATTTAAGTGATTCTGTTTTCACTTGTCATCATTGTGAAGTCATCATGAGCACTGTGAGGTCATCATGAGGCTATTAAGTGTCACAGTGTACAAGGCATCCAAGGCATCCGGATCCCATGTCCGTTCCCTGGGGCGACTCAGTCTGCGGTATTTTCAGTTATGTTTAGCCATGTTAGATCGTATTAAACCTTGAACCATATTAAATCGCGGTCTATAAATCATATTAAATCATATTAAACAATGCTAAACCATGTTGAATCATGTTGAATCATGCTCAACCACTTTACACCATACCAAACCATCTTAAACCCGAAAAATCTTCGCCACATCAGCTATGAGAGGCCGATGCCGTTTCCTACACCATGTGGGGATGCCGTTTCCTACTCATCTCTGGTCCCTTGGGGACGGTTTACCTGGGAATGAGAGATGTCTCGTTACCCTAACTGATCCAACCAAACAGAGTGATACCCTTCTCCTGAACAGCTCAACGACTCAACGATTTTTTGTGGAATTTTTTTGGGGGATATGTCACGTACGTGTGCGGAAAACTGGAAAACAGCTCAGGCTCTTCTCTAGCCTTTTTGTTGGGGCAAACGGATCATTTCACAATCCCAGCTGTTGGCGTCACCAATAACTCTGCCCAGGGACTCGCAATGTAGTCCCCGTCCTGGCTTTTCACCGGGACCCACCAAGTACCCCCAGGATCTCAGGATTTCAACCAGCCCAGACTTCCTCTAGTCATATGTTAGACATATCGATTGTTACCCTCTGGCAAACATACAAAAAACGATGGAAAATCACCAGTTTCATGGGTATATCAACTATTTCTATTTTCAATAGCAAACTGATAGTTGACCAGAGGGTACCAAGTGAACAAATTCAATGTCAACAACATCAGGGTTGCTCCCCTTGACGCACCCATAGAATCCATGAAAACATTTCTCCTAGGTGCCAGGTAGATCCCCATTCTATCCTGATTATACCATCATTCTACCAAGCAACACAGAACCTGAAAGTCATTTACGACTCATTTTACGAACCATAGTAGTGAGAATCCAAAACATTCGAAAACTAACGAGGTAATCCATGTCGTCATTGAGTTTGTTTGGAACATATCCCCATTTTTTATTCTTAAACCCCAATCTTTGCTGATTGAATCCACAAATCTACGCATTTTGAGATGGTCAAACCCCAAATTTCTGAAGTCGATATTCCCACTATTCACTATACCAACCAACAAAGCACTACACCAAGCAACAAAGATCCTGAAAGTCAAATGACTATCCCTACTATATCCCATGTATCCCTGCTATATCCTATATACAAGTACTATGATATAATTATATATACCAACCAACATGGTGTTTTTCCAAGTCCATTCCCCATCAGATCCCCATTCGATCCCATACATAAGTGGAGGGGCACCACCGGATACCAACCAACAAAGTACCTTCTGGTCATCTGTGGTACGGAAAATCACCATTTTTCATACTGTAGGTTAAACATCGAACTCGCAATTTCCCAGATGTTCCCATACCCATTCTCAACTGGTAAATCATCTGTAACCAGCTGACGCCTCCATTGAATCATTGAGTGGTTTTTCACTTGCTATGTTTGACCAGTTAAGTGTGTCCCCATCTATATCCCATGATGCATATTAGCATATACTACCATTTTATTCATTAGTATTCTAATCTTTTCCCCATTATTACTGTAGATACATTTCCCCACATAATTCCGCTAATGTTCCAATCATTCATCACCAATTAGCCATCATATAGCACATATTACCAGATTATTCTCCGTATTAACCATGAAAATCAAGCAGTCTTAACCATTATTCACCATGTATGACCAAAATTGATCATTCATCATTGATTGCCATCAAAATTATCTAGCACATATTACCATAGTGTTATCATATATGCTATTGGGAATATATATTGTCATTATATAGCATATATTACCATTCTTAACCATAGTATTCCCATTATATTAGTATTCTCCATATTAGTATCCTCATTACCATATTAACCATATATTATCCAATCTATAGCAATGATTAGCAAAGTAATTGCCATCGTATTCTCGTGTATATATAGTTATGTATATATATATATACACCATGTATTACCATTCATATCTATATACCATATATTCCCATGTATATTCCTATATATTATTGTTGCCCATATACATTATTACCATAGTATTCCCATATTAATCACCCATATAAAAATTACCCATTCTTCACCATGAAAATTCCCGGAACCCCAAACGGTGCACCTTCTTAAAGCGCTGCATGGCTTCCACCACGTTGGCCTCATGGCATGTCATGGATAACCCCCGTTGAAGGCTGGATGGGTTGAGATTTTCATCCCTTAAAATGGATGGTTTCTGATGGTTTATTTCATGGAAAATCCTATGAAAATGGATGATCAATGGGCTAACCACCTTCATGTTTTGAGGTTAGAATATATGATCATATGGAAATATGCATTTATATGGTTTTATATATACACATATAATGGGATATAGATGGGGAGAATTAGACCTAACTGGTAAAAACACTGGTATACTCTCTGGCAAAGTAACATAGCTATTGAAAATGACAATTTAAGTTGCCATTCAGTGGCTGATCCCATGGATGAACTATGGTTAACACCAGAAACCATCGGATGATCCTCCAGGTAGGGATACTAACCAACCATCATTAAACAAATGAAATCTTACAAGCCTTAGCTTATATCGTATCCAACTAACCCAATTCATTTACAGTGGTTGCGTTTACGATCGTTTCAAAAATTAAAACCTATTCGCTACAATGTCCAAATATCTGGTGGATTGACCAAATCGAAAATCGAAAAAGGACTTAAAATCCAGGCAATGGGGATATCATGGGTGAAGAAGTTGTCTTTTTGGTCACCAATATCTCTAACCACTATGGTCTCGGAGTGTCCCATGTAGCAACGGGCCGTTGCTGACATGATGTCCGCAGCTGCGCACTGGACAGGGGTCATCCCGGCGTCGTAAACATACAAAAAATGATGGAAAATCATCAGCTATTTCATGGGTAAATCAACTATTTCTATGGCCCTTTTCAATAGCAAACTGTTAGTTGACCAGAGGGTAACCTAGATGGGGTTATTTTTAAAGAGTAAAGACCATTTTCCAAGCCCTCTGCTTTTGTTACAGGCCCAGAAAAACCAGATGCCCTCCAGGAATTTAACATGGACGTTGGAAAGCCACTATGAAAGTACCCTCCGGTAATGGAAAATCCCCCATGTTATACATGGTTTTCACATCAAAACGCATTTAAGCCAGGATTTCCATGGTCCCACGTGAGTCGAGGAGCCAAGGGAATGTCCATGGCATCAGGGAACTTCTTTGCTGCAGACCAGCAGTTCAGCACCTGTGAACGAACTCTGGGTCGCTCACTGTGGGCCAAAAAAAATGCAACACAAAATTCTTTGGCAGATTTCCATGGTTACCCTCCGGTGTCATCCAACATGGTTTGGAAATCAAAAAAAACGAACTGAATAGAGGTTTCTAGCTGGGAAATTGATCTATGATGAATAAGGTATTTTCCAGCTAGCCGGGTTTGACACCCTTCATTGGCGTCTTGGGCATCCCTGACCTATACCTGCCTGGACAAAGTTCATTTGAGGCAAATCAAGAACTTGGTTTCTCTGAAAATTTACAGGAAAGAACCTAAATGCACTCGGACATTCACAATTTCCACATGTTTTGTTATTGTTTGCTATTTTTGAGGTGTATACCCAAGTCAAGAACGATGCTTGCGGATGGACTATACCAGTAGTACCCGCACGAGGCGGGGCGGAAGTTGGCTTAGGGATATATATATATATATATTAAAAAAAAAAAACTTTCTCATCTATAGAACTTGCATGCGCCGTGCGCCAGCCAAGCCCGTGCGTGCGTGCATTCTGCGAAAGTGGTGTCCTGTTTCTCATGTCGCATTTGAAGCTCCACTTTGCACTTCACATTTCTCACTGCACTCTTCACACTCCACACTTCACACTTCACACTCCACACTTCACACTTCGCACTGCACTCTTCGAACTCCACACTTCGCTTCACACTGCACTCTTAAGACTCCACACTTCACACTCCACGCTTCACACTTCACAGTCCACACTTCACACTTCTCACTTCTCACTGCTTTCTTCACACTCCACACTTCACACTGCACACTCCACACTTCACACTGCACCCTTCACGCCCCACACTTCACACTGCACTCTTCACACTGCACACTTCATCTCATCTGAGCTCTTCTCACCTCATCCCAGCTCATCTCTTCTAATCTCATCTCTTCTCATATGTCATCTAAGCTTTCATGAATCACTTCCCAGTACTACTACTAAGGAACTTGCATGCGCTTTGCGCCAGCCAGGCCCGTGCGTGCGTGCTTTGTGCGAAGCTGTTGCAGTGTTGTCGTCCAAGAGAACATGACCTGCGCACGACCCCGGCGCAATGCAACGCCAAGCAAGCACTTTCCTCAAACTTCACACTGCACTCTTCACACTTCACACTTGCGCTTCATCTCAACTCATCTCATCTGGGCTCTTCTCATCTCATTCCATGTCTTGCACAAAACACATTCCAGTACTACTTTGTACTACAAAGCTTGCACAAAGTATTTCCCAGTACTACTTTGTACCACAAAGCTTGCACAAAGCACTTCCCAGTACTGATGCCTATTACAAAAGCTTGCAGAAAACTACTTCCCAGTACCACTTTGTACTACAAAGCTTGCACAAAGTATTTCCTCCCAGTACTACTTTGTACTACAAAGCTTGCACACACTAGGTACACGCTTGATAGACGGCCGTGGCACGAAATGGGATTTTCAGCAAAAAACTCAATGTCTTTTGACGTTCCTCATTTTGCATTGTTCCAAACTACTGCGAAGCAGCACTTCATAGCCTTTTTTTCTTCATTGTTTCAAAAGTTGTTTCAGCTCTTCTAAGAAGGCAATGGGGGTGATAGGCCCTAGACTTTGTCTAAAGACCCATTGGTTCACCATCGCTTTGACGTCGTCTGACATCAGGGTATGTCCTGCGACTTTGGAAGTCGCATTCACATGCTGCAAGACGACATACAGTAGCGTAGCATCATGTATGTGAGGAAATGCAAATGAACGTTATTACCCCACCCCACCCCACCCCACCCCGCACAATACGTAGCATCATATATGTGAGGAAGTGCAAATGAACGTTATTACCCCACCCCACCCCACCCCACACAATAACGTAGCATCATATATGTGAGGAAGTGCAAATGAACGTTATTACCCCACCCCAACCCCACCCCACCCCACCCCACCCCAATGAGCAAAAAAGCAACAAAAGTACGCGGCCGTCTACCAAGCGTGTGCCAACTACTTCCCAGTACTACTTTGTACTACAAAGCTTGCACAAAGCACTTCCCAGTACTACTTTGTACTACAAAGCTTGCACAAAACACTTCACAGTACTACTTTGTACTACAAAGCTTGCAAAGCACTTCCCAGTACTACTGTGTACTACAAAGATTGCACAAACTACTTCCCAGTACTACTTTGTACTACAAAGCTTGCACAAAGCACTTCACAGTACTACTTTGTACTACAAAGCTTCCACAACCTACTTCCCAGTACTAATTTGTACTACAAAGCTTGCACAAAACACTTCCCAGTACTACTGTGTACTACCAAGCGTGTGCCAACTACTTCCCAGTACTACTTTGTACTACAAAGCTTGCACAAAGCACTTCCCAGTACTACTTTGTACTACAGGCCTTGCAGAAAGTACGTCCCAGTACTTCATTGTGATACAAAGTTGGCACAAAGAAAGCTTTTACACACAGCAAGCTCTTTCGCAGAGAAGCTTTTACACACAGCAAGCTTTTCAAGCAGAGAAGCTTTTACACACAGAAGTTTTTACACACAACAAGCTTTTTCACAGAGAAGCTTTTACACACAGAACACTTACACACAGTGTTTACACATGGCAAGCGTTTACACACAGAAACTTCTGCACAGAGATGCTTTTACACACAGAGAAGCTTTTACACACAGCAAGCTTTTACACAAAATCTTTTACACACAGCAAGCTTTCACATACAGCAAGCGTTTACACACAGAACACTTACACACAGTGCTTTTACACATGGCAAGCGTTTACACACACAGCAAGTTTTTTTAAACAGAGAAGCTTTTACACACAGAGAAGCTTTTACATACAACAAGCTTTTACACAGAGAAGCTTTTACACACAGCAAGCTTTCACACACAGCAAGCGTCTACACGCAGAACACTTACGCACAGTGCTTTTACACATGGCAAGCGTTTACACACACAGAAACTTTTACACACAGCAAGCTTTTCAAGCAGAGAAGCTTTTACACACAGCAAGCTTTTACACACAAAATCTTTTACACACAGCAAGCTTTTACAGAAAAAGTTTTTACATAGAGAAGTGTTCTTGTACATAATCACAACAGGAATTGCAGCTCCAAAACCGGATCTCGACGCCAAAGCGACAAAAAGACGATTTTGAAGCACTTTTTAGAAGGAATTTTAAAAGGAAAATTATTAGCGCCAAAATTGAGAAAATCTGCTGACAAATGACTGTAGCAGCCTTGATGCAGCCACCCCAATAATTGTACTATTTGCGAGATCCAGCTGCAAAAGACTATAGTATTACGCATGCAGCCGCGGCACGAAGCAACCTTGACGCAGCCATTACAATGCGATCTGCAGAGACTGAGCTGTAAAACACAATAGAACTACGCGCAACGGCCTCGGAAATTGCAGCTCCAAAACCGGATTTCGACGCCAAAGCAGGAATAAGACGATTTTGAAGCACTTTTTAAAGGATTTTTAAAAGGAAAATTAATAGCGCCAAAATTGCGAAAATCTGCTGACAAATCACTATCGCAGCCTGGATGCAGCCACTCCAATACGATTTACGATCTTCAGCTGCAAAAGACAATAGTATTACGCATGCAGCCGCGGCACCGAGCAACCTTGACGCAGCCACTACAATGCGATCTGCAACCACAGCTTCACAAGACACGCATAGAACTACGCGCAATGGCCTCGGAAATTGCAGCTCCAAAACCGGATCTCGACGCCAAAGCAGGAAAAAGACGATTTTGAAGCACTTTTTAAAAGGATTTTTAAAGGAAAATTAATAGCGCCAAAATTGCGAAAATCTGCTGACAAATCACTATCGCAGCCTGGATGCAGCCACTCCAATACGATTTACGATCTTCAGCTGCAGAAGACAATAGTATTACGCATGCAGCCGCGGCACGAAGCAACCTTGACGCAGCCATTACATTGCGATCTGCAACCACAGCTTCACAAGACACGCATAGAACTATGCACACAGGAACAACCACTCGTTGCAGAACACAGAGGAGGAACCAATCGCGTCCGGAACGACCGCAGCCGCAACCGCCGCACACACGAGGTACCTTTCATCGCCGGCTGCGGGCACTTTACACGGAAAAATACAAGGTTTCGTGCTCCGGCTTCCTCCCCAAAACAAAGCCCATGCAACATTCATGCAGCCATTCCAATGCGATCTGCAACCACAGCTTCAAGCAACGCATAGAACTACGCACACAGGAACAACCACTCGTTGCAGAACACAGAGGAGGAACCAATCGCGTCCGGAACGACCGCAGCCGCAACCGCCGCACACACGAGGTACCTTTCATCGCCGGTGCTCCGGCTTCCTCCCCAAAACAAAGCCCATGCAACATTCATGCAGCCATTCCACTCCGGCTTCCTCCTCACAACACAGAGCATGCAACATTCATGCAGCTCCTGTCACCACTTCCCTTGGTCACCACTTCCCTTCGTCACCACTTCCCTTCGTCACCACTTCCCTTCGTTCGCCACACTCCCTTAGTCACCACTTCCCTTGTGATGTATTGTTATGATGTAAAGTCTCACACCACCCTTCATCAAGGTCAATTCTTTTCTGATGTATTGTTATGTAATGTAAAGTCTCACGCCACCCTTCATCAAGGTCAATTCTTTTCTGATGTATTGTTATGTAATGTAAAGTCGCACACCACCCTTCATCAAGGTCAATTCTTTTCTGATGTATCGTTATGTAAAGTAAAGTCTCGCACCACCCTTCATCAAGGTCAATTCTTTTGTGATGTATTGTTACGTGATGTCAAGTCTCACACCGCCCTTCCTCAAGGCAATTCTTTTGTGATGTATCGTTATGTAATGTAAAGTCTCGCACCACCCTTCCTCAAGGTCAATTCTTTTGTGATGTATTGTTACGTGATGTCAAGTCTCACACCGCCCTTCCTCAAGGCAATTCTTTTGTGATGTATATTTATGTAGTGTAAAGTCTCACACCACCCTTCATCAAGGTCAATTCTTTTGTGATGTAATGTTATGTGACGTCAAGTCTCACACCGCGCTTCCTCAAGGTCAATTCTTTTGTGATGTATATTTATGTAGTGTAAAGTCTCACACCACCCTTCATCAAGGTCAATTCTTTTGTGATGTAATGTTATGTGACGTCAAGTCTCACACCGCGCTTCCTCAAGGTCAATTCTTTTGTGATGTATATTTATGTAGTGTAAAGTCTCACTCCACCCTTCATCAAGGTCAATTCTTTTGTGATGTAATGTTATGTGACGTCAAGTCTCACACCGCGCTTCATCAAGGTCATTCTTTTCTGATGTATTGATATGTAATGTAAAGTCTAAAACCACCCTTCATCAAGGTCAAGTCTCAGTCGCGCACCGCCCTTCATCAATGTCAACTCTCACAATTCTATTTGTCCGTAACTCGGAAGTATTGCTTCCCAACTTCCTTTGATAGTTCTATCCCCCTCCTATTGAATACCCCTAGGCCCTAGAAACCTTGGTTTAGTATGGTTTAGTATTGGATTTGTTCGTTTTGGGGGGGCCATGGGCATGTATTTAGTATTGCGGGGAAGGGGTTGAAATGCCATTTGTCTGACATATGGACTGACATGTATACTGGCGGATTGAGGGTCGTGCTCACTGGCGTATTGGTTCACATGGATGCTCACTGACATATTTATAGTATTATATATATATATATTACAAACATATGTTCTGACAGATTGGCTGACAGTGGCACTGATATAACTCGAACATATTGACTGACACATGTAGTGACATGTATCCTGACATATTGACGGACACATTGGCACATAATATAGTCTGAATGTTCCTAAGTTGTTCAAATTGGAGAAATCCTACAGTACCACCTTGTGACCTAAGATTGCCATGTAACAAAAAAAAGGTCATTGGTCCAATTGGTAGATAACTTACCTCTTGAACATGGTGGAATTTCAGCGTAGATTAATTACTGTCCCAAATGACTCTGGTTGCTTGACCAATCCACAGGGATTCTGTAAGATATTACATGTGTGTGGTTCAAGTGATAGAGGAACCCACGGAAAGGACCTTGGGTGAACATGTGCTGAGAATCAACTTTCATAATTTGAGACGATGAGAACTACATCTCAAAATATGAATTAACTGTGCTTTGTTTTGAATTCATAGGACATTTCTGAAGATCTACTCTTGGTCACCAAACATCATTTTGGGGAGCGTCAAGTGAAATCATAGGGTCGCCTCCGGACAATGATCAGGGATTTCTTGTTGCTGGTTGTTGTCTTCAATCCTCCAGGAAATATGCCGTTCAATCGGAACCATTCTTGGGATAAGCAAACGTTTCACATCTGCAACAAGACGGTCATCTGTCTTGAGACAAGTGTTTGCAGAGCATCAGCCCCTATGTTTTCCTCCTCAAACTCCCTGGTGAGCGGTGGAATCCACGCGTGTTTTTCCGGGGATGAAACCACCCATTTGCCATTGAAGAACAAGTGTTCCCATCGGATCTTGGTGATTTTTCCCCACCTGCCGCGCATGTCCGCCGCGGACGGCTTCGGCAAAGGCCGACTCCACTTCCTCCAGGGCATGGCTCGAAGATGGCTCGAAAACTTACCAACAAAGATGGTGATTTAACAACTTAAGTAAAATATAATGTATAAGATATATATATATATGTAAATATTATATCATATTAAACTAAATCCAAGGTCATATAATATTATTTTAGATTATATCATATTATATTAAATATTATATATAGATTATATTATATATTAAATATATATTGTGTATTAAATCAATATTATATTATATTATATTATATTATATTATATTATATTATATTATGCTATATTATATTATATTATGCTATATTATATTTTATTTTATTTTATTACAGTATATATTTTATTATTTATTATATTATAATTAAAATTTTAATATATTATATATTATTTCATATCATATTACATTACATTATAATAATTTAATGTAGTATAAATGCAATATTATGTAGTATAAAAAATATATAAATGTAATATAATATAATAAAATATGTTATAATATAATATTGAATATGTAATATTAATATATCATAATATTGATATAATATATAATATTAATAAAACAGCGCCGGGAGGAAAAAGAAGCTGTGCAGTTCAGTTATGTTCAGTTATGTTCAGTTATGTTCAGTATGGTCAGTGGTTTAGCCAGCAGCTCCAGGGACACTAGTTATATGTATAGCATTGTATAGCCCTGTGAACATGCGTATATTATATTTATATATAATACAAGATGATAATAAGTAAAAAATGCTCCTAAGTGGGCTAAGTTACACAACTTGGAGTTTAACATATGTTAACTATGCTATTCTATATAATAACTCAACTAGTGCTTCTTGATCAGTTTTCGGTCATGATGCCAATCTGGAACGTTTCAGGCCCAGCTCTTAGAGTCGCCTCTGATTGCACAATCCAACTGGCCGTGCTTCGAGCCCGTTATTTTCTTGGATCTGGTACCAGACCGCCTCCGAGGTTGCTGCTGCCCCGCGCGGGGCTGGAGCAAGCTCGGCCAGCGGGTCGTAAGCTTCGAAGCTTGCCCGCCAGCACGAGACGTTGCGGCCAGCAGCGCTCGGGCGGCTTTTGCTCCCCGGGCCCTTAGGCTCTGGGGGTGCAACCGGAGGTGGCGGTGAGCTGACCACACGGGAGGCCATGCCTCCGCCTCCTCCCGGGTCATCATGCCGCCAGCGACGGACAGCGCAGCAACGGCGAGTGCGGTCGCAGCCATGCCGGGGTGCTGCCGACTCTACAAAGTTTGTTCGTGTCTCTCTTTCTCTTTGACGGTGTTTCTCTCTCTCTCTCTCCCTCCCTCCCTCCCTCCCTTCCTTTCGCCGCCTCCCTTCCCGTCCCGCGATGCGATGCGTCAAGGCCTTTGCGGGGGGGGTGCCTGGGCACGACCGTGACATCAACGACCCGGTGGGGGTTTTTGTTGACCCAGGCGGGGCCGCTTCCCCTGGATCTCCGTCACGGTCGTGGGCCTTGCGGTCTTTGCCCGCTTTCAAGAGGAAGGGGAACGTCACAAATGACTTGGGCCCAACCGGCGGGTGGGGTGAAGCAACATATACGCATGTTACAGCTCTTTGGCTTTCAACATCGCCCCGGAATGTTGCGGCCGAGAAAATAAAGTAAGTCACCCCCTTGATAGGGGGATGGGGGGTAGAAAACCCTAAACCCGTGAAAGGCGCCAAATGACTTGGGGGGAGGCAGCCGTGGTACTGTGAAAACCTTAAACCCTAAAGCCTAAAACCTAAACCCTGAAAACTTTGAATCCTAAACCAGAAAACTCTGTGTATATGCAGTATTTTCTACAATATCTCCTATCTTATCCAACAACACGACATCCTCAATGTTAATGTCTGGGCAACACTCGGCGTCTGTGGGTAATATTATATTATATTATATTATATTATATTATATTATATTGATATACTATAATTCAATATAATTAATATAAGATAATATAATAGAATATAATATAAGGTAATATAAGGTAATATAAGGTAATATAATACAATATAATATTAATATAATCTTAATATTAATATAATATTAATATTAATATAATATTAATATAATATTAATATATAAGAATAGAATATAATAGAATATAATTCAATTTAATTTAATCTAATATTAATACTAATATAATATAATATAATGTATTGTAATACAATATAATATTAATATAATAATAATATAATATAATATAATTTAATAGAATATAATCTAAACAACATGGCTACTTGGGTATGGGTCAATTGGGGACCCTGAAACAAAGCTACAATGCCGTAGAAAACCATACAAAATGATAGTTGAAAGGACCCATATATATATACATAATTACTACTTTTGTTGTTATTATTATCATTGTATATATGTGTATATATATATATGAATATGTGATTATAATATGTATATATATATATATGATTAGAATATATATATATATATGTGTACCTTGGATTTCCTATGCGTGTATGCAACCAGTTTGAAATCCTGGATCTTGCGATGTTTTCATGGGATCAGTGGGGGAGTCTAACCCGTGCTGTGTTTGGCCTCAATGGGATCAAACAAGACCATCAATTGTATAGGTATATTCACTGGATTGGTTTAAGGGAAAATTTACAGGAAACCATGGTTTTTACCATCAAATATAGGGCTTTCCTGTAAATTTTCCCATAATCCAATTCTATGATATATAAATGTGGATACCCCACAATGGATGGTTTATATGGAAACTCTTATTGAAAAATGCATGATTTTTTTTGGGTGTCCCCATTTCAGGAAACCTCCAAATGGGTACATAAACTACACTGAACTGGTGGATTGAGAAATCACCCACTTGCAAAATATGAGTTAGGCCATGTTAGGCCTAGGGTCGACATTCCATCTTCAGGTTGACATGTAAAAGATATGGGAGACCAGCAACCAGTATGGAATCAGGGTGATTTGCCACCACAAATGACCACAGTGGAAGATTTATGGAACGCGACAAACAGGGAGCTAAAAATGATTATATTGTAAAAATCAACACATAAAAAACATCTACCAAAACATAGTACATTCACAAGCATGTTGCTAAACTTTAAAGGAGCAAAGTAGTCCCGTAGTCCCGCATGAGATTCCAGTTCTGATTTATATAAGTTTAAAAAAAAAATACGGTTGACCTACACACAAATAAAAAAACACCGTTCGTCCAATGTGAAATACCCACCAGAAATAGAAATCCTGGTTGAGTATTGTTTAGGAATGGGATTAATAATGAATGCCAATGAAACTGAGAGCGTTTCAGGTCGCTAGAGGTTTTTCAAAGAATACAAGCCCTCTTACAGCAGACTCTTCAGAAGCCCGTCTCGTTGAGTGATTTGGGTCTCAAAAATTGAGCTTCCCAGTCAAGCCGATGCAGAGTTACATGTTCATACTTCAGAATCACCAAAATCTGTGGTTGTCCAGAAATTGGGTATACCCCAAAGTTATCCATTTAATCCACTCAGTTTCAGGGCTACCCTATTTTCAGACAAACCAATCTGTCGTTGGGTCTCAAGAATGTTGACCCATTCCAAATTCCCATTTAATATCATTTACCCTTCATCCAAAAACATCTGGACATCGGAAAAGCTACCATATATATATATGTAATTACATATATATATATATAATTGCATCTATATAGAATTATATATATATATATATAAATACATATATATATATATATAATTACATATATATATATGAATATGTATATATATATATGAATATATATATATATATGAATATGTATATATATATATATACATATTCATATATATATATATATGTGTATATATATATACATATGTATATATATATACCCATCCAAAAAGATCTGGTAAAGCTAACTCATATCTACCATATCAAACAAATCCTCCTTTGGTTCCACCATATCCTCGCCAAAAAAAAACTGGTGGGGGGAATCATCCCACGCCTTCGCGTTGGAAAAATGCTGCGGGGAGCTGGAAAAGGTCTCCTGAGCCCAGGTTTTTCCCCAACGAGACGATGGAAAAGTCATCAACTCTCAGGATATAGCCCAGTTGTATATGAGTTATAAGCCACTTACTAGATGATCCCATGGAAAATGATGAAAAATGGAGGGGTGATTTTACCCTCCAGTAAATTAACAACATGACGACCCTGCCATGACTTGGGGGTTGGAAGATGAACGTTTGTTTCCATTACAAATTGGTGATGTTCATATTTTCAGGGTCGATGTTTATTTACCAGAGGGTAGTTCATTTCTATAGTTTGTCACTATATGTAAAAAATAGTCTATTGGAAAATCTACTATGGGATTGGTTTACTTAGTCCCTGTCTTTTTGGGGGTGTGCGAGAAAAAGGCCGTAAATATATTGAGATACGGCTATGTATCAAAATGGTACCGAAGTGAACATCGAACTAGCTGGAAAAATGAATGTGCATCCCCCAATTGATGTGGAATTTTGAGGCTTTTGAGCTATCCTCATATCTCCTCAGTCCTCAATCTTGAGATTGGAATGGTCCCAAAGTCATCACATCATATCACATATCACATCTTCATGTTATAGACATTTAGATATTCATAGATTTCGATCCATGCTCAGTACCCCGGGTTGCAACGCTCCGTCCTTGCTTCTTTTGGACTTCTGCGGAGTAGACTGGCCAAACAGGAGCAAATGTGCCTGCGAGCATCGCAAGGTTTACCCCAGTGAAGCCATAGTTCGATGAATTTCCCAACTGGAAACCTCCATTTAGTTCCGGGACTTCGCGGCCCACCACGTTTGATTCTTGGAAAGTGGGATCCTGCAAAAAACATCAAAAGAAACATCTCACAGGCTGATTTGGAATCCATGGATCTCTCACTTTTGAGCCTAGAACCTGAGAATACTCCGTCCAACCATACGTGGAAAAAAAAAAAACATGCTAAGGCCCAAAAAAATCGGCCCAGCATTCCACAATCTTCCGCCCAAAATACAGCCAAAAAACAGATGGCCCAATACCATGGTGAATCTTAAATACCTGCCAAAAAAAACTTATAGCTGGTAAATGGACTAATTTTACATGATTTTACCATTGTTAAAGATGAAAGTCCTAAATTCTCTAACAGCAAAAGATTAAAGATCATTAAAGTCCTAAATTTATCTGTTTTTTTCCTTACCACTAATGTTAAAGACTAAAGTCCTACCCTCTGGTAAACATATAAAAAACTATCGAAAATCACAGTTGTTCAATGGGTAAATCAACGAACTTTCTATGGGCCATGGCTTCCAGTTCGCTTTTTGTATGTTTACCAGGCCGGGTACCCTCTGGTTATGTCAAAATAGCTATTGAAAATGGCCATTTATAGTGAGTTTTCCCACTAAAAATGGTGATTTTCCATAGTTACGTTAGTTTACCAGGCCGGGTAAATCATCCAGGTTGACCAAACTTTCGGATTCTTTCGGATTCGCTGAGTGCTGGCACCACCAGAGCCGCCACGAAGAGGGACAACTCCAGGCGGGCGGAAATGATGAAGGACCATGCCTCCGACATGGGAAAAGCCATGGGTCATATATCCCATAGGTAACTAATGGTTATAATAATGGCTATATAATGGTTATGATGATTATAATGGTTATCATATCCCCATAATTATGGTATACCCTCTGGTAAACATACAAAAAGCTATGGAAAATCACCATCTAAAGATAGGTAAATCAACTATTTCTATGGGCCATGTTCAATAAACCATAGGATCAATGGATTGGTTTAAGGGAAATTTGAAACAGGAAAGCCCCATCTTTACTCATATTTAATGGAAAAATCGATGGTTTCCGGTGAAGTTTTCCCTTAAACCAATCCATTGATAGGAAGAAGAGATGGGAAAACCCATATGATAATATGTTGGTCAAAAACATCAGGAGAAATGAACATAAAACAGAAAACTATGGGTGTCATATTGAAATTATGATGGTATATGATGGTGTAATATTGTAATCAGAAAACTGAAAACTAGGAATTATGATGGGTGTAATACCCCATCATATGGGAATGTGATAAATATGTATATATATATATAGAGAGATATGATAAGCATAGTATGTAAGTACTGGAAAAAGATGGTAACCGTGGTAAAACAATGTTCATAGTATGAAAAAGTTCTTACACAGATTAAAAAACAGTACGGCAAAATTAACATGAAAAGGATCGGGGTCTCCTGCACATTTTCCATACGATCACCACATCTAAACCCAGTGAGATTTACGGAAGATTCCCATTTGTGTGTATATACTGGTTGGTAGTTGAGCCATCCCTCTGAAAAATGATGGAGTTCGTCAGTTGGGATGATTATTATTAATATATGGGAAAATAAAAGCCATGTTCCAAACCACCAACCAGTATATATATATATATGTATGCATGTAATCATGCTTAATCATGCTTAACCATGTATATTGGGTTTACAAACCACTTGCTAAGCGGAACAATGGGACAAATCTTTCACAGGGTATAACTTAGCTTACTTCAACACTTAGAAATGGCAGTATTATGATGTATTATGTCTAGTATGGTTATGTAACAACTTGTCAGGCTAATCCAATCCCTCTTTAAGAACCCGTCAGCAGTTGGTTTAGACATGGGGCTGACTCAATCAACATATAGAAAATGGATGAAAATGGTAAGAAATGGATGAAAATGGATGAAAATGGATGAAAATGGATGAAAATAGATGAAAATGGATGAAAATGGATGAAAATGGATGAAAATGGATGAAAATGGATGAAAATGGATGAAAATGGATGAAAATGGATGAAAATGGATGAAAATAGATGAAAATAGATGAAAATGGATGAACATGGATGAAAATGGTAAGACATCATTTCCTCGGACGACCAAGAGTGAGGTGGAACCTCCACGTTCCAGCAAGCAATAGAACATTATAGAATCCAAAAAGCTCATAGGATTCAAACTTAAAAATTTAACAGTTGAATCAACAAAAAATGGAGGTGCTTTAAACCAAGCAGCTCGAAATCTAAGCACAAAAAAAAACCAGAGTGAAACCTTGGACTTTGAAGCATACGAAAAAAAAAAAAAAACACCGGCTCAAGGAACGTGTTCATGAACGTATACAATGATGGGTGAAAGTGGTGAACGTAACTAAGCATATATATATATATATATACATACATATATATATATATACATATGTATATATATATATGTATATGTATATATATATGTATATGTATCTATATATATATGTATATGTATATATATATATATGTATATATATATATATGTATGTATATATATATGTATGTATATATATATGTATGTATGGAACATAAATATCAATGGTATATCATGTGCTGAAACTCAAGTTGTAGCTCTTCATCACTCCCTGCTGACCCCGGCATCCTGAGTCAGGAAGTCTGCCTCAACCATGGACCTCAGATGCGAAGCTTCCAAGCAGATCATGAAAATCTCAGAGAATCAACACGCCAAACCTTAGATACCCCAGAAAAAAATAATGTTTAGCTTGCCGTACAATACAAATTTATAGCCAAAGGTGAAGTTGCATTCAAGTACCCATTCAAGGTTGACCAGGAATTGCCACAAAAAAATGGTGAAGAATTAACATGACGCTGATCTACTTTCTGTCCTCCGAAAAAAAAAGTACTGTAGGGGATAAGAAGTTGCATGTTTGACGTTGATATGGAAAACCACCACGTTTAGTGCGTAAACAATTATAAATATTCTATAAACATGGGATTTTCGACAGCTATGTAAAATAACCAGAGGGTGTATATATACATATATACATATATATATAATTATATATTTGATTATATATCTATATATATGTATATACGTCGATTAGATGGCAAGGGGACCCCTTCAAAGATAGAAAAGTTCAGCGTCTTGGACCACCTTCGAT